TTTCCTACCTTTGCTTCTATTTTAAAGGCATGGAACTCCAAACCCACCAGCAGTCCAAACCTCCAACAAGCTTACACGAATAACAACTATGAATGAATAACAATTATGCACAAGGATGGACTATTTCAATGGTGAAAGTTTTTAATATTTTAACATTTAACAAATTTTAACATTTTTAACATTAACATTTTAACATTGATCCATAAAGAGGAATGCCATATTTTTCAGAGGAGACTCAAAACAATTTTGAACAGTATCTTATTGCCAGATTATTTTATATCATGCTGGTTAAATCATCCTGTGTTTAAGCATTGCTTACTTCACATTCATCCTATATGTTTTCCCCTGTTTTGTAACATTAAAATAAGGTATTAGTAATTCCTATGCACAGAATCTAATCACCATCCATGTCCAACGTTTATCCTAATGGAGACTGCTTTACATTATTTTATCAAATGATATTTAAAAATATCTTCACTAGGAAATGCATTTTTTCAAAAGCACACAAGTATTTTTAATCGCCATCCTCACTGCCAAAAGATCATCAATGAAACTACACTTGAAGCAGTTAAGCATATAATGCAAAGAAGTATTTTTTTTAATAATGTCAGAAAAGTAAAATTCACAATAAGATATTTTAGCTTTAATTAAAGAAAAAAGTACATTCTCTTCCACTCAGACGTGTCTGCTGGCATAGCATACAGAAAAATTTGTTAAGGCTCTTTTGACTAATATCCTGCATCGACTCAAGGTCAGTTTAAAGCACTATCATTTTGGCTTTTATATCCATCTTGAAAGCCTCTGAAAGATCAAACAAGACTAAGGAAATATTTACTAAAGCCTATAGATTCTACTAATTAAGATATCAAGTCTACAGACTTACTATTTAAGAGCACTTTAATGTGCACAAAATTGCAAGCCTGTAATCAGGAAGATGATTGAAATCTTGCTCAGTTTGAAGGAGGATTGTTTTCAACTGTGCTGGGATCACTCTTGATACTGCAATAAAGGATTCAAGAGAAGTTTCACAGAACTTGTTTATTTTGATCATTATTATTTATATCTTTACTGGGGTTTGGGTTGCACAAGACGCAGTGTGAGCTGTAGCTTCAATCCGTGCAGCTCTCAGACAAACAGAAAGAAGTTTGCATGGATTAAGTCCTTCACAGGGGAAGCAAATTCAGGTAGCAATTCTGCAAATAAGGAAATTGCTCATATTTCAAAACTGTAATATGCATTTTTAAGAGCATATACAGCTTCAAATGCATGTAAGTGTGCATGTGAATATGAGGAGAAAAAAAAAAACACAAAGAGAAACTGGCCTTCCTTCAGCACCTCATCTAGAATAATCACAACAGTGTCCTTTTGCAAATGATCAGTCAGCAGTTTTTCTTTTAAAGGCACATAATTCAACTTAAAGTGAACAGTATAAAAATACTCGAACCTACCAAGCAGAAGACGTTGTGGAGTTACACTACTCACATGGAGCTATTAAAAGTTCTATTTCATAATAAAACCATATATTATTCAAACTACAACTCCCAAAGAGATCTACACAGCTGGACCTTCATAATATTACAAAGCTCTTCACAAATCAGTAGGGTTCTGCCTGAGTTTGATCTGTACATCTATCTAGAGTGTGTTAAGAAGTCTGATGCTAATGACACACAACATAGCAAATCTCAGATCTAGCTTTGTTATTAATTTGTGCAAACATTTGATTGTGAATTTGCACAAGTTCAGCTAATAAGGGGTATCTTAACTGTCAAGGCTACGCTGAACAGTGCAGATGCACAGTGAATACACTTCCTGTAAACTCCTATTTGTAATGCATGGTTCTCCCCTGAAAGTCAGTATCAGGAAATATAGCTCCCTTGAAAGTGAGTTGAAAGTACAGCTTTCAACATTAAAATTTAGAAAAAAGTTTCTATGAAAAAAGGCAAAAGTAAGGAAATTAAATCTTTATGTTCAGTGTGAGAGCTTCTTAAACAAAGAAGTTATGCATTTTCCTTTGAAAGACAGGAAACAGGAGGCAAGCAAAGGACCCCTAATAAAAAGAACAACTAAGTACACTACACTGGAAAAATACAAAAAGTTATTAGAATTGAATAGTTATACTTCAGAGAATGGAAATTCATTCCGAATGGAATCAGAAGGGAGAAAGAGTATGACAGGTACAATGCAAGTTGGATGTTAGGAAGGCTAAAAGGAAATAAGAAGAGCAGATAACTAAGGAGATACAAACAAATAACAATAAAACCTCTTAGTATATCAGAAGCAGAAAATTTGCAAGGGAATCATTGGATTTGCTGGAGTGAGGTTTGAAAGAGCATTTGAAGGATATAAGGGCATTGCAGACAATCCACATGATTTCTTTTCTTGCGGGATGTTGAGGAAATGCATACCTGACTTTTCTAATAAAGAGAAACCCCAAATTGAAAAATCAAAAGGGATGAGAGATCACAGTAGTAAATAGATAGTCCTGTCATTAGGGGTGAGCTCCTGCCCCATTCGCATCAACATTTTACCGATGATCTTAGCACGGATAGTCTTTTACTTCAGAGCCGAATGATAAAAAGGCCAATAGGCTGATGATAGGAAAAGGCAGAACTGGGCATCACAGCAAACTGTTCAACACGCAGCAGTGCTTGGAAGAGCAAGTTAAATAGCAGGATATAAAAAAATGAGATGGGGACAATGGAAACAATTATTCTGTTAACCAGGATATACTGTCTTGTGGAATATCTGTTCAGTTCACAGCTCTCCTTCCTGATCGAGGGCAGTGATTTTCAATAACAGTCAGCAAAATTGATCATGGCACAAAAACTTACAAATCGGTGAAGATGAGGAATCTAACAAGGAGATGCGTAAGAGGGACACTGTAGAGCTGAGTATAATCCTAAGCGATGCAGGCAAATAGGACGCTCTCACACTTAACCTTTCTCACATTCCTGGAAGAGAGGGTCACTCAGTGCAATAGAAAGACATCACTTCTGAAATTAAAAGGCTGCTGGAATCGACTGCATAAACCCCAGACCTGTGCAGCTCACACTAAAGACACAGAGCTTTGCTACTGGAGAGGAGGGAGCATCACTGATTACATCCCAAAAAATACTTCTTGCTGCTGTTTTTCATTTAAGTATACTTGAATATACTGAGGCACAATATTCGCACGGGTTTGCCTCATAATGATATATCCGCAATGACTTTACTATGGGAGTGAAGAAAAGACTTGTTGTATGCCTTTTTTCTTAACTATCTATTACAAGACCTTCATTCTTTTTGAAAGGGACCTCTTGCTAACATCAGAAAGAAATGATCTCCTCTTCCAGGTTCCTAAAACCTAAACTTCTAGACACACAAAAAAAGAGAAATCTCTCTCTATATATAGATATATTGTTTTTCTTCCTTGTAGATATCCATATAAAGATGTTAGTGACATGGCAAGATATATACAAATCTTCAGAACAAGTCATTCAAAAATAAATGCTTTTCATCCTCCCTAGCACATAAAGAGTAGCATTCCCATGAGCCTTTGAAGGAAGAAATTCCTTTTTCAAGAAGGAAAAAATGCCTTGGAAACCTTCAGCTGCTGAAAAAGACGATTTTCAAGAGTCATTTCATAACAGGCAGTATTTCCCCGAAGACTCTTCCACTCTGAGTCTTCCAGATCCAATCCTTTCCTTCTTTTCTTGCCCTAATGAATGAAACCCTTCAAGTAGGACACGGGATGGGAGAGAAAGGAGACGAAGCGGCGGTGCAGAGCATGGCAGCAAGGATAACGAGGACAAGCAGGGCTGCTCCAAATGTCTGCTCAATTGCAGCGGGCTGTCTAATCCATGCTGGATCCTCCACACTTCATGCAGGTGGTTGATGGTTCTGAAAGCTGCCAACCATCTGCACTGGATATCCTGAGTCCTGATCTAGAATTTAGTTGGAAGCACTAAACTATCAAAGTAGGAAGTTTGTGCCTGAAATTACAAACTAAGGACTTACATCCAGGGAGTCCCTTGCATGACTGATGACAAAGAGTCTACCATTTCTGTCCCGAGAAGAACAGTTTTAAGGAATATTTTCAACATACAGGTGCATCAGCACTTGGAATTTCATCTCAGAATGTTATAAGGAGATCAAACCTTAGGAGAACTTAAAGGCAAATTTGGTACTGAGGGGTGATACTGAAAGTTAAATGTTGGCCATCTCTGCAACTCAGATTTACACCAACAAATCATACAGAAAATCAATTTAAAAGCACACTGCTTTGCACAAACATTTTCAGGATTTGATAATTTTTGACAAACACTTTGGGGAAATATCTAAGTCTTTGTATTACTTGCAAATAACTATTTTGAGTAATTGCTATTCATAATTTGCTGTCTCCGGGGACTAGTTTCTCCTCTGTGGCTCAACACTGTCCAGTCCTACACACAACTTTCTTAACAGCTGCACAGACAAATTCCCTGAAGATTCCAGTACTGAAGCAACACTCTTCGCAATACATTATCACATAGCTGTGCAACTTCAATACAGTATCATTCAACTAACAATTTTGTAAAAAACAAACAAACAAAAAAATCCACTCGAAAGTGTTCCTGAAAAATAGAGAGGTCATGAAAAAACAAATGATGGCTTTTCTTTCAAATAAATGTTAACAAACAGTCTTTTCCTACATTTTGCCAGACTGGAAGTAGTCAAACATTACTATATGATTCATGGACTTGCCATTAATCATTTTGTCAGTCTGATATTGTAGGAAAGAAATTTGGAAAGAATAGATTCTACCAAGCTCCCACAGTTTGTAAGAAGCTCCAAAAACAGAAAAATAGTATTATCCAAGTTCAAAGAAAAACATAGATGGGCTTTCAACCTCAGAGCGGTGAGTAATCCTAACACAAATCAAGTGTAAAACTACTAAGTGCAACACAAGAATAAATGTTTTTGAGAAATACATATGCAACACTCGAGGCACAGCTTTAAACCCAGCTGAAACGTGGACTTACTGTGGCTGTGCCGGAGACAGTCTGTGCATTTGTGTCGGCGGCGCTCTGCTCCGAGTGCGTCTGGGCAGGCGGGTACATGTTTAGCGTGTGCTCGGGAACAGTGCTCTGGCCGGGGTAGTCGGGCGCGGGGTGCGGGTGCGAGGCCGGGTACTCTGCGGGGATGCCGTTCTGGGGGGGAGCGAACTGCGCCGAGGCGTAAGGCTGCGCCATGGTGTCAGGAGGGGCCGGAGCTTCCTGATTACCCTGCGAGGAGCCAGGGAGCGGAGAAGGGAAAAGGAAGAAGAAACGCCGAGTGAGATAAAGTCATTTAGAAAGCCGCGGTCGTAGCCTACAAGATTGCTGGCCTGGAAAGGGCACAAAGTTTGCTTCTAGAGGAGAAAACTTCCTATCTGAATTAAATCCCTGTTTTGCTAACCCTATTCATTCGTATTACAATTCAACTGTATTACAATATCCTCTTCCTTGGATAAGTGTAGACTATTTTTTCACTGTAAAAGGCCAGTAGATCTCCCTGCACTAATGCCTCAACTCCAACAGAGAAGAGGACTCAAAGTTACTGAGAACAACTGTCATTCCAGGTATTACAGGACACAGTCTATGGTCAGTTATGATTTGCTATTTTCAGAATTAACACATGCAACCCACACACAACAGAACTTGGGCATATACTGTTCACATGCTTGAAAATATTTACACAAAGTGATGCTCTGTCAGATATTCAGATCAACTCTGCAGTAGACAGTGTTTAGCGACTGCATTGCACAAATGCAAAACAACGAGACTCTAGTTTGTAGCCACAATACTAAATGTTTGAATCTACAAATACAACAGTTTAAACCCTTGAGCTAACTTAAAAAAAATTTCTACACTGTAAAAAGTCAAAATAAATACATTTTAAAACTTCCAACACTGGAAGACAAAGACAATGCTGTAAATCTGTACAATTAAAAAGCAAATGCCCCCCATTCTCTCTTAAGTTTGATCTCTTTTATGTTTGATACGACAGTAGGCAGTCAAATGCATTAATTTATCAATTACATGTATCTGATTAAACACTCTACTCATACCAAATAATGATAATGGAGGGAAAACGTAGGCAAAACTTTTAGCATGTATTTAAAAGATGTTCAAAGCCCAGCACTGTATTAGAGGCCACCATATAGGAGACTCCAGATGGCTATAAAGAATCCTACACTGAGACAGACTAACTGGCTTGCAAGGTAAAGCTATTCTTACAAATATAAAGTAATGCCAAAATAAATAAATCAGTAAAAAATGAAATAAGTTTTTAAAATATTTTAAAATATTAAAAAAAAAATTAAAATGTTGTCATTCTCCCATCACAGCATGTACAAGTACTTGCAAAGGAAAAAGTGGGGACATTTTGTTTCTTGGTCCTCACAAGTTCTTGATTTCATGATTTCATAAATTCAGATTAGACTGGGAGAATAAAAGCCACTCTTCTGCATTTTGCACTTGAGGGCTTTTCCAGCCACTTTCAACTAATTCAGACATCAGTGATCTGATCTGAATTGCGTCTAAATTCAGGAGCTTTCAAAAATTTCAAAACCACTGCACAGGAAAAAGCCTTGAGTACATGGCAGGATTAGAAGGGAAAGTTACATTTTCCATTGAGAAGGCACTGTGCCCTAGAAAATTAAGCATTATAGGGGGAAACCAACTCTCTCTAATTTTAATCCCATACTTGCTTGTATTTTATTGTATGGCCCTGAGCAAGTACTTTTACAGTGTTTCATTCAACCATGTTTAAAATGAAAACAGTGTCATTTCCCTACCATGATTTACTGCACAGGATTAATGCAGGAAGCTCCATTTGTATGTATCTGTATTATCTCTAAGGGTATTGTTGCACTGAAACTTGCCACTATTTAAATTTCAATAGAGGTTAAAATTCTTGTAGGTTTACCCTTACTAAATTGAAATTACATCTTCTTGAGCTAAAATTGTAAGGTCCAGTACGGTTCTTTTCTTTTTTTTTTTTTTTTCCGCACTTAATATTTTCTCAATGTTAAAAACCAAACTAAACTCTGACATGAAATAGCAAGCAACAATGAATGGTTTGCACTGGAGAGATCTATTAGATTTTAAAGGAGAACCTTAAAAACTTTTTGGGAGGCAGAGGCCTTCATTTTTTGCCATGTTTTAAGACAGCCTTCAATAAGGAAGGCTGAAGGAGAGCAACTTGCAGTCCTATAGACTCACGTTGACTGGGCTGGCTTTGAAACCCAGCAGCTAGTTCCTTCTGGTCCATAACCAAGTCCTTCATGTCATATCTACCCATGGCACTAGGGTCCATGGATGTTAAAGAAGAACAATAATGGCAAGAAGGGACCATGCACTAATGTCCAGGTGCATTTCAGCTAATGGCTTTTATACTACCTCGAGTCGCAAAACAGATGTTGCCGAGACTCCCACTGTTTCTCATTAACATTGACAGCAGTTCCAGGAGACCCTAATTAATATTCAAAGCAGTCACACTTAGTACTAATTACAGCTAATATTTAATTAAGAACATTGAGCTGTTATATCATTTCTTACCAGCAACTTGAAAACGCCTCACTTTTTTAGGATTATCGGGAAAAAGCAGAGGGCACGGGAAGCTTCGGCCCCTCCGCACTGCCTGGGCTCCTCTGCCTCCCTGCCCCGACGCACTAAGCGAGGGCCGGGTCTCTATTAAAGGGCCCCAGTTTTAAAGAAATAAACAGTGAAGCAGCAGCTTTTCTTTCTTTATATATAGCTTTTACATACTCGAAGGTTTGCACTTTGCTATATTAAAAAAAATAATAATACTTAGAGTAGGAAAGTGGTATGCAAGGTTATGCATTTATTAAACTGCCTGTTAAAAAAGAAACAAAGAAAGAAAAACACTAAAGGTGTTACACTTGCATATTCTGCTGTTAGTGAAGTTGAAAATGACAGTAAAAATAAACTTGAGCTATCTGTCTCTTAAACACAGCAGACTACTGTAGTCTTCTCTTCAGGTTTAAAAGGCGAATGTTTTATTCCATGTGAGCCCAATAGACATGGTATTACACTATAGCATAAAAGCACCTATGTGTACACAGGTTCTTTACTACTAAGATGCATTTAAAAATGCAAACTCAGATTCAGAACAATACCATATAAGCTAATAAATATTTGCACACACTTGTGGTTGACGAAAATTCCAGGCTACACAAAACTTAGCTACAATTGAATGGATTTTAACAAACCAGAAATTCCTTAGGTATGGGCTTCTAAAGTGACACATTATTGTGCCCTTTCAAACAAAGCAAGTTAAAATTAAAATAAAATAAAAGGAAAGGAAAGGAAATCACAGATCTAAGACATTAAAAGTCAACAATATGAAACTGCCTTAAAAGCAAGAGGCAACATCGATCCTAAATCAGCCTTCGAACTCAGGTACTGGAGTAATCCCCAAGGGTGGCTGACAGTGCACAGACACGGTTGGTACAACGCAGGCATGCGAGACTCCCCAAATGTTGTCATTCCAGACTCTGATCCAAGTAGCTTTAAGTTTAAATGACCCCCTTAATGCTCACTTTTGTGCATAGTTTTTAATAAAGTGCTTGTTGGCAACCAAAAGAAGAACAAAGGATGGCAGACAGTCAGGCTCTGCTAAATGTTTTGGCCTGAGATTTAATGAAAACCACATTTCAACTGAAAAATATGCTTTACGTGGCAGTGTATAAAATCAACTTTATTGCTTTCTCCTTAAATGTTGAACTGCACAGAAGAAAACTAGAGAGCCTTCTGACAATGTAGGTGAGTGAAACTGCTCCTATTCTGTATATATTACTCCATTTCAAGAAAAGCTTGGGATTTAAAAATGCTCCCAGTATCTCAGATCTCAACATGCCTTTTCAGCATCTTCTGTTCTGAAAGGATTTCATAATTAAAAAATGCATGAAAAGTGTCAAAATGCAATAAAGTAAGCTTGTTATGTTTGTACACGAAAGCACAGAAAATATTACTTATGCAGTGTTCCATTTTCAAAACACATTTGCAGCATAAAACTGTATTTATTCAGTGAAAACCTTTCTGGCTGCCTGCATTTTAAAGTCTAAGTAACAGTTTATTGTTTGTTTTACTCTATTTCTGTTTGGTGTGTTTTGTTTCTTTGGCAAGAGATATTTCACATTTAGAGAAAGCCTCCCTAGTACTATAGTTAAATGAGCCAAACTGCATCATATCCTCAGGGCATGGAAACAAAGAAGAAAAATGCAGCATTACTCTGTAAACCTGCTGGTTATAAGACCGGTTCAGTTAGATACATCAAGCGCAGCAGAGACACGTAATCACTGCTGCAGCTGAGAATGGCTTAAGCAACAAAACATGGATTAGAAGAGGCTTGCATGCAGTGGTGCAGCTGGGTGTAAGAAATGCCCTGGTTTGGCTAAAAATCAGCGTTTCAAGTGAAAATAAAAGTGAAAATACCTGCTGTACCATCCTGCTCCCTTTATCCTCCATACACTTAGCAGCTGCTCTAGTCCCAGGCCATACAGCATCTGCCCAAAGCAAGCACCAACGGTGGTGGAGGGTGCGCGAGCGCTCTACGGTGTGTCTGAGAGGGGATGAGAGGGGTGTTGAAGGAGGGCGAGCTCATGCGAGGCTTACTGACCTCCCTCCCAGCATCTGCCGGCTCCCAAAACCTAATCCAGATGGGACTCCTTCAGCTCCCGGGCCTCGGCCCATCAATCACAGCAGGCCACTCCTCTGTCTCCTGCTACCGGCTCCGGAGCGCACCACTGAGCAGATGATTGCACACACAAGAAGGAAAAACACAGCTTGACGACATTAATAGCTGTTTAGGACACATTAGGAATGCTACTACGCGAGCTGCTGCAAGCTGAACATTTCAGCATTTCCCTTTTAAAATTAAGACTCCGCATTCGAAGTTATAAAAGCCCCTGAACTTCGACGGCTTTGACTTCTGCGGAGCCCAGCGTAACGTGTGTGTTTCTATGTGATTAATTCTTCCTACATGTGGTAAATTTAATAGCAAAATGACTTCTATTTTAAAGCTGCTGAACTCCATAAGTAAACCATGCACACTGCAGTAGCCTGTTTTGGATTAAATGTGCTTTACCCTTTCCTGCAACCGAAATACTGCTTCCTTTTTTCTTTCATTTCATGATAACCCACTTGCTTACCAGGGGAAGTATTTCACAGACACTTCCAAAGGTTGGTTCTGGGAGGCACTTTAAGCAGGTTAATGCTTCACTGTCAGAAGAACCTGCCTAGATGCTCCGGAGGTGGTTTAAAAATGATTTAGCTCCTAATTAAATTACATAATAAAGAAAAATGCTGCAAAGATGCAGACAGCCCCAAGGAATACACCTTTATCGGCACCGTGTCACGGATCGCCTAGAAGTGCAAGAGTTCAGAAACAAGGCAGGGGAAACTTGTACCAGGGGAATTCTTCCTTACAAATGTCTAATTCCAAAGGGTGAATAGGACGGCTGATAAACTGCCATCAGTGCATCCTCACATTCATATTCCAACTGAAATACAATGGATTTCTTTAAAGCAGCAGTGTGATTCTTACATATTTGTTGCTGGCACTCTGCAATTAATGATAATAAAAGCAGCCACTTCATATTTTTCAGAAGGAATCAGGCATCCAACCACACTGGACCAATAATCACAACTGACTGATTCTGCAAGCTTTCTCTGTTGTAGCTTAATTATCTGACCGGGCCACTTGACTCACATCATTTGCTTCTGCAATCATACAAAATGAATTCTCCAGCCACCTCTCTCTCCATTTCTTTTTCTTTTTTTTTTCCTCTTTTTTTTTGGTGTGTGGAAGTTTCAGTACAGAGACGGAGGCAGATTCAGATTTCAATTAAACAAATATCCTTCCAAAAGGATTCTCAAAAGTAAGAATGATAATGGAAAATATATTTTCTGCAGAGAGTGTAGGAGAAAAGGCAGTAATAGCAAGCAAAAGAGATTTCTTCACTATCTCAAAAGCATCAACAGGAGCATCTCTTTAATCCCATTACAGAGAACATTTTCTTACGATCTTCTTCATGCATAACATATTGTGTTCCAGTAAAAGTCTACTTTCTTGCTATTCATCTGAAAATAAAGTGTCTGTTTTGTGTCAACGTACAGAACAGACCTTAACCAATTAAGTATCACAACACCCTCTGAAGAGCGACGGTTAAACACTGTTACTTACATTTTACAAAGGCAAACAACTTGTCAAAAGACTAAATCCGAGTCTGGATCCCTGCCTGTATTCAAGACCACATGGGATTAGGGATGCACAGATAAATATGAAGAAAGAATTCCCTCTGGCACCCTTCATCTTTCCAAATGATGCTGCTGAAACATTCTACTGCCCTTGTGACGGGATGATTTATGTACACCAGCTTTTCTTTACCTACCTCACCGGTCTTGCTTTTGCCATTTTCAACAGCCCAAACAGACATGATTCTGTTGCATCCATTGGTTTTCACTTTCTTCCCCACTACTTCCTAAATCTATCTATCTTTTACTTAAATGTCCTGCCTGTCCTCCACTTTCTCCCTCTCTGACCCTTCGATATTTTATGCAGGTCCTTTAAATTACAGCTCAACTTTCAGTCCAATCAATCAACCCTGTCTGAAAAAAATTCCGTAGCTTCCCTCACCAGCTCCCCCCGCCTCACTTTTTCTCCCCATTTTCAGAAACCTGAAGAAAAAAAAAAAGGTAGGAGAAGACATGTAGTGGGGGAACCTGGAGTTCTCAGTAGGCAGTAATCAAAGCTTCCTTATCTAAGTGTCATTTCCACAATGAGAAGCAGAATTGCAGTCAGGTAGTCCATTTTCTTATCATGCCTCTCCTAGGGAATTAGCTGCACAACCTTATTTATTTATTTGTTTAACTGCCTGAACATAGGGTCAGTTCCCAAATCAGTTCAGAAGGAATTGTGACACCCTAAGTGAGAGGACCATGCACTGAAGCATGGAGGCAGAAACAAGCAATGAGAGATGAGGAAGAGAGTAAAGCAGCAGAAATACAGTAAACCATATTGACATAAAAGTTTCTGACCTGAGAAGCTATACTTTATAAAGAACACTTTATACTTTAATCCTGTGTCCTAAATTTGTAGTACTGAAGGCAACACCGACCAAGTGGTAAATTATAGGCCCCTTATAAAAAATGGTGAAAACATCAACCTGTTTCTATCATTTAGCCAACACAGAGCTGAAAGCTACTACAAGAGAGAGTGCCCAAGAAAGGCACTTGCAGCGCAGGCAGAGCCTAATGTCCCAGGGGTAACCCAAAATTAGGAAATCTTGGGCCATCTTTTAGAACTACAGACAAAAATCCAACTCATAGCTCAAACAATGGACACAGCACAGATGTGTTACTAGATCTGTTTTGTGAGGGTGCATTAGACCTTCTGAAAAAATAAGTATTTTCACCCAGGTGAAGACTATGTTTATGCAGCAAGACCAGTTCTGGACCTGGCATAACTGCACCATGCTATGTAGCCCTTTTACATACCCACAAGACTATCATCACTTTGTAACTTATATATAAGCATAAGGGTTTCTTGGACAAAACAAACTTCTCCAAATACTACCAACAAATCAATGATTGAATATTCAAAAATATTATCATCTGAAAAGGGGAAACTAAGCAAGTGGGTGTCTCTTCCTGGAATTTCTGGAAAACTGAGAAATTCTTGTAACATGGCTGAAACAACTCAATTAGGATTTTGCTCTAGGTAGAATTCAACATTTCGATTTAAACTTACTCATAAAAGTAGTAAATTTCTCAGGGGACTGGGTAGAACTGCATTTTTTAAAGCATCTAAATCAGTCAATTTAATCTAACTAGGGTTAATAGTTACACAAAATTGTTTTGCAGATGCTGCCTCACCTAGATTATAATAGGACTGACCTTTTTGAAGTTGGCTTTCTAATGGGCGTACCGCAACATATATCAGTGCCTTTGCCAATTTTGTTAGCTACCACAATTCGAAATGAAGGCAGTGCCCTACATCATGCACCCATATACATCTTGTTAGGGCATTTGTTCTAGAAACACCATATCCACGTCACGTGTACCTAATTAGTTCTTATTCATGTATGAAGAAATCGCTTTTAGTTAAAAATCAGTGGGCAGAGGATGTGATGTGTTTCACAGACAGACAACAAAACTACTGCAATGAGAACCAAGAACCCAGGACTAGAAATAAGCAGGGGGAGTTTCCCTGAGCAGCCAGGTAGACACTGGGTGCTTCACCAAAGCACTACTGAAGTTGCTACATCAAATCACAGCTTGCCTTAGGTACTCACATGTGTGGTGAGACAAGGCTCAAGTGACAGAGAGGCACAGATGAAGATTGAAAGGAAGTAGCAGTTATTTCAGGGCAAGCTTGCATGACATCTCTGAACTGAACTCTTCAAACAGCTTCTTTGGAAAGAGAAGGTGCTAGGTGGGTTGAAAACTAGTTGGACTTTCAGGCTGTAAGATCAATGGCTGAATATCTTGCATGTGATGGGTAATAAGTGGAATACCCCAGGGGTCCGTACGGGGCGCATGCTCTTCAGCAAGAACACAGAGCACATCCTCAGCAACACTGCAGCTAACATTGAGCCACGGAGCCTCCGTCCAGAGGGAGCTTCATGACCCTGAGGCCTGGGCAACCAGAAGCCTTATCAAGGCCAGCAGGGAGGAGTGCTGAGTTCTGCACCGGGGACTCAGTAACCCCAATGAGCAGGTAGCAGCAGTCAAGCCTAGAAACCACTGGCTGAACAGCAGCTCTCCTGAAAAGGACGTGAGGACACTGTGTTGACTACAAATTGAAGGTGTGTTCTTATCAGAAAAGCCAAAAATAGGCTAGCCTACATTAGAAGAAACATGGCCAAGGTAAATTGCTAGAGCTTAAGCTATCTGGCATGGCACAGAGAATATTGTCATTTCTGGCACCCTTCGGTTCCAAAGTAATGCAGAGAAACTCATGAGGCTACCAGAATAGTTAGCAGTCCAGAGCATACGCCCTGAAAGGAGAAGCTGAAGGAGCCTCACGGCTCATGTTGTTTAGCAACAGCTATTAGCAATGCTCAGAACTTGAGTTTGGACTGGGTGACCTCTGGCTGCCCCTTCCATATTTCTATGGCTCTTCGGTTCTATGAAATAATTATATTAGCATGACTGAGAGGGCTGCAAACCAGATGCAAGGAAACAGAATGGAAATTCTTAGGGTAATTAATGAATTATGGAATAATAATTTGGGAATAATCTTTACTGAACATTCATTGAACCACTGTCAAATTTACTTTGTATACGTAGAGGCAGATTCTATATTAAAATACAGATATGCAATCTATATTAAGCAGGAAGTGCCTGGTTATTTGCCCTGGGAAACAGACTGTCCATTGACAACCAGCCTTTTAAACTGCAACTGAAATTCAATGATCTCCCTTTCTTTTTTTCCTTCCTTAAGGAAAGATC